AAAAAAAAAAAAAAAGAACCAAACTATACATCTGGTGGTGGCAAAATCATAAGAGTATTTTAAGTGACTTTAAAACAGTAATATGACTATATATCCCTAAAAGGATGCAAAAAATTTCTTAAACAGTTTTTATTAGTTGGTGGTAGTGTTCATATTATTTGTCTGAGACTGAGATGTGTATGGCGTGGGATAAAACAACGAGTAATTAGAATCAAAATGTTTGTCCTAGAAGAAAAAAAGATACAGGTGTAGAAGAAGGTTAAAAAGAACTCTGCCATCTTGCTTTACAACTGGAAGTGTCAGTACCCTTGATCTGTACACTGAAAAGACCTAGACCTAGTGGTCAACCTAGTAGCAATGAACAACCCCAGGGCCCAGATTGTGGTTACTAAATACTATTTTTCATTAAAAGAAACCAAGGGCCCTTGGAGAAATAGATTCCAGGGCTGGGACAGAAAATGTACAAGATGAGCCTGGTGCAGTTTGTCATACCAGAAAAGAAGAGCAATTAAAGACTATTAAGAGTTGTGTCTAGGGTCGGCCCCGTGGCTTAGCGGTTAAGTGCACGCGCTCCGCTGCTGGCAGCCCGGATTCGCATCCCGGGTGCACACCGCTTCTCTGGCCATGCTGGGGCCGCGTCCCACATACGGCAACTGGAAGGATGTGCAGCTATGACATACAACTATCTACTGGGGCTTTGGGGGGAAAAATAAATAAATAAAGTCTTTAAAAAAAAAAAAAAAAAAAGAGTTGTGTCTAAAGGATTTAGCAGCCAATTTGAACAGATTCCTATCGGACAAAGATGGGACAATCCAAGTATCAAAAGGATAATATCTATTTTAAATAGATATTAATAGTTTAAATCTATGAGTTCACAACAACACAAACATATACACAATCCACTGGCTACTTCTGGAGGATGCCCACTCATTATTTAGAAAACTAGTAAATAATGAAGAGGAAATAAGCATTTATCCTGCCTTTCCTAAAAGAGCCATAATTCAAGGCAACCAAATTATATAAGAGGGGAAATTTATCTTTATAGAGGTAGTCCAGGTAATAAATGATGAAGCTATAATTAAAATGTCATTTTTAAATGCCTAATGAAATAATGACTCTAAGCATTGGGCATCAAGGGCTGCTAACAAGAAGACTACTACTCCTTATCTGCCTACTAACTATAAAGTCTTCTTGCCAAAAATAAATCAAACCGGAATCTGATTACGCCTTTAGATCTAACTAAATGAGATTAAATTTACAGTAAATTCTGTGTAGTTAAACTACAATACAGAATAAAATCCAGACTATGTGTAACTCCACAGGACAAACTATCAAGTTTCAGCAACAAACAAGTTATAAGAGATAACAAAAGATAGAGGGGGAACCTAGAGACTAAAACAAGTCACAATGTATATGAACATCATTTGGATCCTGATTCAAACGGTTAAAAAAATTATGAGGTAATCAAGAAAATTTTAATACTGGTTGGAATTTGAAGATAAGGAATTTTGTGATAGAAGTATTTGAGTTGATCTCCTTTAAAAGATGCATGTAGATATACATACTGAAATATTTAACAATTAAAATGATATAACATCTGGGTTTGGGGGGGTACAGATAAAGCAAGATCAGCTATGAGTTAGTATCTGTTGAAGCTGAATGAGGGTAACCTGTGTGAGAGAAAAACTAAACGTGTAAAAATAAATAAGTCAATTTAAACTCTAAGTTTCACATAATAAAAACGTCTTTTTAAAGTTAATTGTCAAACTGTTAAAAAATTATGAGACGATCGGGGCTGGCCTGGTGGCAGGGGTTAAGTTCGGGGGTTCAGCTTCGGTGGTCTGGGGTTCACCAGTTCGGATCCTGGGCACCGACTTACTCACTGCTCATCAAGTCATGCCGAGGCTGCGTCCCACATAGACAAACTAGAAAGACCTACAACTTGCGTCCCACATAGACAAACTAGAAAGACCTACAACTAAGATATACAAATATGTACTGGGGCTTTGGCGGAGAGAAAAGAAAAAGAGGAAGACTGGCAACAGATGTTAGCTCAGGATCAATCTTCCTCTAAGAAAAAAATTATGAGATGATCAAGAAAATTTTAACACTAGTTGGATACTTGATTTAAGTTTTTTTAAAGTACCTTTTAAAGCATTTCAGTGTTTACTTTTCTGATTCAATACAAGGACTACTTGAAAGAATTAACTAAAAACTAATAATCATCTAAAGAAATAGTTTTTACGGTAAAATCAGTAACACAAAACTGAACACCAAACAAAACCTTACCAGTATCAGATAACGTCAGAGAGTTAAAGGAGAAAATGATCTGCTGTATAAATTATATTTTAAAAAGGAAAATATCCCACTTTTGGAGACTGGGTAGAATTTAGATTCATGTCATTCACTGAGCCCCTGTAACTAAAATCCAAACACACAACAAGCAGTACAACAAATCATACCACCTGTCCTGCTGTAAACCACATCAAAACTTTGAAAAGCAGTCCTGACTGCCAAAACCATCCACTTCCTTAAAAAACAACTTTACTATTCTAGTTCCCCCATAGTCAGAAGCAAAGGGGTACATTAAGATTTTGGACTTAAAAAAATAATTTTTACATGGCTGGCATTTGCCCATTAATTAAAGACTCAGATTTTTCACAATCCCACCCTCACACAATCACCCTCTCTGCCTGACATGCCCTCCTCTCTTTGGTACCAGCTGAACTCCTACCCACTCCCTCCTGCTCGTTTTCGCTGGGGGCCTCTCCTGATGTGTTTTGCAAGAGACCGAGTGGACCTTTCAGCAGCCTATTTCCTATCCCCATTGAGATTTCAATCAATTTTTCACACGCAAAAAAATCTTTCTGTAATAACTTAGCACTGCATACAGCTATCAGCTATGTTTTTGGTCCTTGGGGATATGGCAATTGATTTACGTCATTTAAGCATAAAATCATATGGTCACACCACCAGCAGTTTCAGGTTAACCAAAATATTTATTTCAAGGTAGGTATGCACGAAGTGAACACAAATCACCTACAAAATATCTCGAGCCGTGAATTACACTAGCAAAAATAAAAGTAATTGTTAAATGCAGGGACCCTCTTACACCTCCCAAATAACGAAAAAGAAAGAAAGAAAAGAGAGGGAGGGGCGAGAACAGCTCCTTCTCTAATGAAGTTCCAGGACAACCTGATTACCATTCGTAGGCAGATTTGGCTTTTCTCTTTCGGCAGAAACTATCGTTTTTTTAAAAAAGAGAGCCGACAGGCAGGATCCGACGCCTGTGTCGGTCTGCGTCTCTACCAACCCTCGAGCCGTCAGCGCTCCGGGCCACGGACCAGGCGGCCCCGGGCACCATGCTGACCCAGCGTCCGGTCCGGGTCCTCCTTTTCCACACGGACCCCCGAAGCCCACCACCCAGCCCGGAAACGAGCTGCCCAGAGGCTCGCACGAGAAGCCCGTGTGGAGAAGGGTGTGCAGAGCGTCGTCCTCTGCACCCGGTCAAGGCCAAACAGCGGGGACCCTCCCAGGGCGGGCCCCCGCGCCGGACCCGAGATCCGCCAGCGCCCCGCCCCCAGCACGGCCCCCGGCCCCCGCGCTGGCCCCCGCCTCGGCCCAACCTCCCGCGCCGCTCGGGCGCTGCTGCCGCAAGCCCCGCGGCCCGGCATGGAGCCCCTGGGCCGCTCCGCCGCGCTCCAGACCCTGCCGCCGCCACCCTGCGCGCGGGCCTCACCTCAGGCGCAAATCGCAGGCAGCGCGCAGGCTCCCAAGTCCGAGCGCGGCCGCCGCCCGTGGCCTCCTGCTCCGGCTCGGGCTCGGGCTCCGCCCCCTGTCCTCCGCGCGCACTCCAGCCCTCGGCCTCGGCCCGCCCGTCCTCTCCACCCCTAAGCTTTAGCGCTGCCTCCGTCGCCCGAGCTGGGTGCGGCCGGCGGCGCTGCAGCCCAACAACACGCCACCCCATAGGCCAAGCCTGCGCCGCCCCGCCCATCAACGCGCCCTACTATTGGCTAGCTGCGGGGAGGCGGGGCGCCGAGGAGGCGGGGCCTGCCCCATGAGGGGAGGGACCTGCACGGCGAGAGGTGGGGCCTGCGAGGGGTCTGCGCGGGTGGGGTCGCCGCCTGCGGCCAAAGCCGTTCGCTAAGACGCTCGTCTGTGCGGCTCCGCCCGCAGGCGGTGGAGGGGCGGCTGGGCGGCCGGATGGGCGTGGCGGGTGGCGCCCCACAGGCATCATCGCTGGAGCAGGCAGGGTCGGCTGTGCCAGCGCCGCCCCCTCACCCGGAACCGCTGGTTCGCTCATTTTTTCTCGCTGTCCAGACTTGGGGAGGCTTCCTGCGAGCAGGTTCCCCGGAAGCGCAGGAGGCCGTACTAAACGGTCCAGTCCCAGGCCTTTCACGGCTAGAGGGGCTGTCTGAGTCGGAGTGCCCTCCTCGCTCACTCCTCCAGCGGATGGACCGTGCCTCCGTGTGCCTGGCCCTGTGCTGGTCTCCGTCCAGAAGGCTCCAGCGGGCGGGCGGGGCTGACAGCCAGGGTGGGGTCAGGACTGCGGGGCCTGTGGACCCTGATAAGGCTCCACAGACACGGCGGCTGCCTGGTGCCCGGGGCCTGGCCTCCTGATGCTGGATGAACAAGCACCAGTCTCCTCCGCAGAATCGGGGAAGGAGTCTAGAGCAGGGCATTGGCGAGACCAGGCTAGCCTAGCGATCACATCAGCACCTTCGCCCAAACTGTGCCTCCTGTTGTCTCATCTGAGCTCCGAAAAGACTCGGAAGACAAACAGGCACGGCTTCTTGTTCCCTTTATCCCCATAGAAAGCTGAGGCCCAGAGCTGGGCAGTGGAAGAATAGTGCAGAACCCAAGCCTCCTCTCTCAGCAGGCGCCTCTTTGGCTTTGCCCACAGAAGGGTTCAGGGATACTGTCTGGGATACTGTCTATGTCAGTGACCTCTGATCTCATGGGTTCTCCTGGACATTAACTTTTCTCAGAAGTCTTTTCTGACAAGACTCCACAATTCTGTCTGATTCACTTCTGTTTCCCTTGCACCTCACAACAAGGCCTGGCCCAAAGAGGTGTCAGTAAGAGCTTGCTGAAGCAAAGAAGGGTGGGAGGAGTAGATGACTGGGAGTGTTAAGTAGAGACATAGAAGATACAAAAAAGACCCAACTCAAACTTCTAAAGGTGAAAAATACACTGGATGGGATTAAGAGCGGATTAGACACAGCAGAAGAAAATATTAGTGAACTTAAAGACATGCAAAAAGAGGGCCGGCCCCGTGGCTTAGCAGTTAAGTGCATGCACTCCGCTGCTGGCAGCCTGGCTTCAGATCCCAGGCTCACACCTACACACTGCTTGTCCAGCCATGCTGAGGCCACGTCCCACATACAGCAACTAGAGGGATATGCAACTATGACATACAACTATCTACTGGGGCTTTGGGGGAAAAATAAATAAATAAAGTTAAAAAAAAAAAGACATGGAAAAAGAAACTAAATGGAACACAGAGAGAAAAGAGCCTGGAAAAGAATGAACAGAGCACCAGTGAGCTGTAGAACAACTTCAAGAGGCCTAATATATGTGTAATTGGAGTCCCTGAAAATGGAGGTGGGGTAGGAAGGAGGATAGAAAGACTATTTGAAGATATGATGGCTGAATTTTTTCCACATTTGATGAAAACTGCAAACCCACAGATCCAAGCAGCTCAAAAAGTAACTTCTGGGCCAGCCTTGGTGGCCTAGTGGTTAAGTTCGGTGTGCTGTGCTTCGGCAGCCCACGTTCAGTTCCAGGCACAGACCTACAACACTTGTGTATCCATGGCCATGCTGTGATGGTGGCTCACATACAAAAGAGGGGAAGATTGGCAATAGATGTTAGCTCAGGGCTAATCTTCCTCAGAGAAAAAAAAAACACAAAAGTAACTTCTGCCTTGCTACTGGGCTCTGGTAGAAATGGAATGTTTCTGTGGGACTTCAAAAGTACTCTGAGGCCAGAACTGCCCATCACTTGGTTCTGTCAGACTACCAAGATGTAAAGTCAGGTAGACACATCATAATCTGGAAGTGGTAGATCCAGGATTGGGTTCATATAGGTCCAGAAGTAAGTGGTCCAGAGCCCTACCACTGTAGCTCTGACATTTCTCCCTCAGCTCGCACCTAATGTCTCAAGGGGATTCCCTGTGATTCAGTGGCAGAGGAGTTTTGAATAAGCATGTGCTCAGCTCATAGGAAAGTCGGCTCGGTGTGTTGAGGTGGGCTGAAAATGGCCTGCTGCTGCACTGTATCCCCACTCAGTAGTCACCCTGAAAGAAGGTGGTGAGGGAAAATCATCCCAATAGGCAAAGCTTCAAGTGGTGAACTTGGCCATTCACTTTGTGTGGAGAGAGACATGACCTGGACTCATGGGCAATTGGAAATGGCTTAGCTGGTTAGTCAGCACCCTGTAAGGAGCAATCTGGAAGTTTACGAACAAAGAAATCTGAGGAAGAAGCATGTGGATGGACCTATGGAAATTGTCACAAAGCGTGAAGATCTTTGTATCGCATGTTAATGTCCACCAGTGAGCAACCAAAGCAGAGGCTCCAAACAACCAACCAGACAGAATGGCTCAGCCAGTGGGCATTAGCCGGTATCTGTCCTCTGCCACCACAATGCTGGCACAATAGTCTCATGAACAAAGTAGCCATGGTGGCAGAGTGGAGGCTATGTATGAGCCCCACTGCATAAGCTCCTTATAACCAAGGCTGATCCAGCTACTGCCACTGCTGAATGTCTAACCTGTCAGCATCAATGACCAAGGTTGAGCCCCCAAGAGGAGCCAACCAGCCCCTTGGTGGCAAGATGATTACATTGAATCTCTTCTATTCTAGAAAAAGCAATAACACATGCTCACCAAGATCGCCATGGGTGTCGGTTTGCCTTTTCTGCCTGCAATACTTCAGCCAGCACCACTGTCAAGAGCGCAAACGTCTGGTTTGCTGACATGGAATCCTTCATAACTGCCTGGTACCAAAGGACCTGCTTTATGGCACAAGAGATATGACAGTGGACACAGGACCAGGGACCAACCATGCCTACCACATACTGCACCATCCAGAAGTCACTGGTTTCCTAGAGGGATGGCCTAGCCCATGAAGACTCAGATGAGGCTCCAATCTGAAGATGACATTATGAGAGGATGGAGTGCTGTCCTCAGGAAGCAGTGTAGACTCTATATCAATAAATAACTATTTTATGAGGCTTTAACCCTAATAGGCTTTGTCCCTCAGGTAACTGTCCCTCACAAACATTAAGTGCTGTGAGCCTAAAGGTCCTGGTTACCGAACAGGACACCTCTACCAGGACAGTAAAATTGAAGCTATGACTGGCACCTGGTCACTTGGGACCATTTGTGCCAGTAAATCAGTAAACACAGAAAGGAGTGACCACATTGGCAGGAGTAACTGACACTCATTATTGTGAGTATGTAGGGCTACCAACCTCATGATGGGAGCAGGCAGGAATATTTTTGGCTCTCAGGCATTTGGAGGGGTGAGGCATCTCTTGGTACTCCCATACCCAGTAACTGTAAATAGGCAAGCATAGCAGCATGGCCTGATGAGGACAGGCTTCCAGGGGCTCAGATCCTCAGGCATGAACCATCTAGAAGAGCCAAAGTGCTAGTCATGAAGAAGAGAAATCTAGAATGGGTGGTGGAAAAGGGAGATGTTGAGTATCAATTGTGGCCTTGAGGCCAACTGCAGTAGTGGGGGCTACAGTTCATCCCTCTGCCCATCTCTTGGAAGTTCTCCCAGATACTGTGACCAATCAGAATACTGAAGAATCTGTGTCTGAATGGACTGAACTTAATGTGAGAAACAAGTGGATCTGAGCAGTTGAAGGGGTGGCCTTAGTAGTCACTGTTGCTGCCCTGCCCGGATTCCCTTTCTGGGTTGGTGCTGGAAGTGGGCCCCTCTCCAGGTGCTGTGAGTGTTAGGTGCTAATGGCCCACAGAGCCCCTACCTCCAGAGTGTTGCTGTTGCCCAGGAGATTATTTCCCTACCTGGACAGCCCATAGCCAATAACTGGCTGATCCAGGGGCAAACAGGCTGAGTCCCTTAATGGCTCATTCCCAGGACCAACTCTGTGGGACAATTCCTACTCCAGAGCTCCTTGTGGGATCAGGCTAAAGCTAATCTCTAGCTGAGACCACTTCCATCTTTTGTTTTTTCCTTTGCCCTATCCTGATTCCCCCAGTAAGCTTATTCTGAGAATATTCCCTCAATAAATCACTTGCACAAGATCCCCATTTCAGGTTTTGCTTCTAAAGAACCCAATCTAAGAAAAGTTATATAAGAAATACTGTCTACAACTCAACACCAAAAAAGCAAACAGCCCAATTAGGAAATGAGCAAAGGACTTGAATAGACATTTTGCCAAAGATAGATAGATGGCCAATAAGCACATGAAAAGATGCTCAGCGTCACTAATCGTTAGGGAACTGCAAATCAAAATCACCATGAGATACCACTTAACACCCATTATTAGGATTGCTATTATTAAAAAAAAAGAAGAAGGAGAAGGGGAAGGAGACGGGGAAGGGGAAGGAAAACGAGAAGAAGAAAGTGTTGGCAAGGATGTGGAGAAATTGGAACCCTTGTGCATTACTGGTAGGAATGTAAAATGGTGCAACCACTGTGGAAAATGGTATGGTAGTTCCTCAAAAACTTAAAAAGAGAATTACCATATGACCCAGCAATTCCACTTGGGAGTATATACCCAAAAGAAATGAAAACAGAGACTCTAAACAATATTTGTACATCCATGCTCATAGCAGCATTGTTAACAATAACCAAAAGGTGGAAGCAGCTTGAATGTCCAAGGTCAGATGGATGGAAAAACAAAATGTGGTCCATCCATAG